GAATCAAAACATTTCCATTTTTCTCATCCATCACAAAAAATCCGGATTCAATGTAGTCCCACTGATTAACCGGTCCATATATATATTTCCCGTCGATTATCAACTCGACGCTTCCAAAAATAAGCTATCCCATCATCCAATACCAAATCACATAAATTATCTCATTATCTAGTAAAGCTACTCAGCAGTACCATATCACCATTCCTCATCCAAAATTCATAAACAATTTCACGAAATAGAGTCGATGCAAATAATTGTAAATAACCCGTTTGTGGTTAAAAATTCCTTAACTCAAAACTCACGTTCCTTCATTAAAATCCTTAAAAAATTCATGTAAATGAATTTATTGACACAAAAATCCATTTAATCCAATTTTGGTCCTAAAAAACAATTTAGACGATAAAATATTAAAAATCTCGTATTAACCATTATTTTACGGTAACTTAAATTCCCCCAAAACGGTAAATCCAAAAATCTCCCAAAAATACAAGAAACTATATTTACCATCCTAAAACAGGTCTGTCCAGTTTTTATATTTTTCAATATCTCAAAACCATGAAAATAATATTACACTCACTCTTTACTACAAATCTCGTATTAAGCTCGTTTTTAACATTTTAATGATAAAAACTCCACCCACTGTCTAATTTACCCTTTCCAGACCAAAACTCATTTAACAATCCATACTAACCATTTTAGAGTGATCAAAATCTTAAAGATAAATAAAACACGTTTTTACCGAGCTTTCCGTAAAATTCATCGTTATGCAGTTTTTAATCCGAAAACCATTTTCAAGTGAAATATTCTGCTCAATCTTCCCCAGCATCATTTTAGACAAAAATAAAATATCTTAAATCAATTTTAAACTCAATAAACCCAACTATCCATTTTTACGGTGAAACTTGTCAAATACCGATATTTACACCGTAAAATCCATAACAATCAAGAATAATCACCAAATCATCATATCAACAAATAATTTACCGGTATTATAGAGCTCTTTGATTCATGCTCTTATCTCTTCATTTACTTTCCAGCAGATGGAGTAAAGGCTTGGGGCGGCCTTCTAAGGAGCAGTAGCTTTGAAAGGAAGAAACTCAAGTTCCAAAGCTGGCTCCATAAACAAGCTAGATGCTGGTGCAATGCCTACGTCATTAGCTCATTAATGACTCGGCTCCTTTTGTATCACTGAAACCAGCTCTAACTGGTTAGGTTGTTGAACCCTTCCTTTCCTACTAACATGTCAGAGGTTTGATTTTTATAGCTAACATTTTATTTTTGTTGCACTTTTTGATGTTTGGGGAGTTTTCAAGTGGTTTCGTTGATCCTACCTCGTATAGGATAATTTCTCGATTTTTTTCCAGTCTCGATATAGGGGAATTGTTCAATTTACGTCCGCCACTTGGAAAAAATTTATCCGAGGTTCGGGATGTTACAACACTCCCCCTCTTAATTAGATTTTGTCCCCGAAATTGGCTCGTCCAAAACATCTATTAACTCAGCACGACATGATAATTTCCCTTGGGCGTTTAGTACCTAATGGCTTGGGAAATTTTTATTTCATACTTATTTATTCACTCTAGAGGTTATATATTACAATGTACCCTACTCATATCGATCTAACACATGAGGTACTAGGTCGACATACGTTGAGCATAAGCCTCAACTAGCTCGGGGTACTTCTTCTTCATACTCTCCTCGGTTTCCCAGGTTGCAGCCTCCTCCTCCTGATTACACCATATAACCTTGAGCATGGGGATTTGTTTGCTTCTTGACACACGTACCTGATGATCCACAATGCTCACAGGTCTTTCTTCATAGGTCAAATCTGGCTCCAACTCCACCCTTTCGGGTTGTAGCACATGAGATGGATCGATATGAATCTTTTTCAACATACTCACGTGGAATACATTGTGAATTTTCTCCAACTCACGGGGTAATGCAAGCTCATATTCCACATGCCCTACTTTGGAGATAACATCGTAGGGACCAATGTAACGAGGCACTAACTTACCCTTCCTTCCAAACCTCATCAATCCTTTCCATGGGGATACCTTTAAGAACACATTCTCTCCCACGTCATAGCTAACTTCTCGAGCCTTCCTATCGGCATATAACTTCTGGCGATCTTGAGCTACTCGCAATCTCTCTTTGATCAACTTCACCTTATCCTCCGTATCTTGGACAATTTTTGGTCCAGTAAGAACCCGAGTACCCTCAACGTCCCAACATAGTGGGGTACGACACTTCCTTCCATACAACGCTTCAAATGGTGCAGCCTGCAAACTACTATGGTAAGAGTTGTTATAGGCAAACTCCACCAAGGGTAGTAAATCCGTCCAAGGTCCACCGGTTTCCACTGCACAGGTTCGTAAGAACTCCTCCAAAGTAAGTATCGTACATCAGACTACCCGTCTGTCTGGGGGGGTGATAAGCCGTTGAGAAATTAAGTCTCGTACCCATCGCCTCCTCCAAGCTCTCCTAGAAGTGTCATGTGAAACTGGGATCTCAATCTGAGACAATGGATAGAGGAACACCATGAAGTCGTACAATGTGAGTTATGTACAACCTCGCTAACTCTTCCATACTTGGCTTGAATCGAATGGGGATAAAATGTGCCACTTTAGTCATTCGATCCACAATTACCCAGATGGCATCTTTTCCTTCCCGGGTAGAAGGAAATCCGGTCACAAAATCCATCGTGATCCTCTCAAATTTCCACTCTAGAATTGGCAATGGCTGCAAGAGTTCGGCTGGTGCACGATGCTTCGCCTTAGTCTTTTGACAAACTAGACAAGCTTGAACATGCTCAGCCACCTCTCGCTTCATTCCCAGCCACCAAAAATGTGTTTTAATCGTGTTATACATCTTTGTGACCCCCCGGGTGCATGGCATACATGGATGAATGGGCTTCCTCCAGAATTCTTCATCTTAAATCACACGACTCTGGAACCCACATACGACCATGCCTTTTTAGTATGCCTTCTTCCACCATGAATTCACTTTCTTCCCTCACTTCAACTTGCTTCAACTTCTCGATACACTCAGGATCTACTTGTTGACTTTCTCTAATTTGATCATGGAGTGGTGGTCGAATGCTTAGGTGTGCAATTAGGGTGGTGATGTCCTCCACCCCAAAGCTCTCATTTCCACTAATTCTGACAACCTTCCCTTTCGACTGAGTGCATCGGCGACCACATTTGCCTTACCGGGATGGTAATCAATTGTGCAGTCGTAGTCCTTCAACAACTCCAACCATCTTCTTTGTCGGTTTTTCAACTCCTTCTAATCCATTAAATACTTCAAACTCTTCTGGTCGGTCATAATTTTGAACGTTTCACCATAAAGGTAATGCCTCCATAATTTTAAGGCAAACACGATAGCTGGCAACTCTAGATCATGAGTTGGGTAGTTGCACTCATGTGGCCTCAATTGTCGGGAAGCATATGCAATCACCTTTCCGTTCTGCATCAAGACACAACCCAAACCAAGATATGATGCGTCACTGTATACCACATATTCTCCCCCCTCCATCGGTAATGCCAGAACTAAGGCTGAAGTCAACTTCCGCTTCAGTTCTTCAAAACTCTCCAGGCACTCTTTCGTCCATATGTATGGGGTTTCCTTCCTCATTAATTTAGTCAAAGGTGAGGCTATTTTAAAAAACCCTTCCACAAATCGACGGTAGTACCCAGCTAACCCTAGAAAACTTCGTACTCCCGACACATCCTTAGGTGGAGTCCAATTCGCAATAGCTTCAATCTTCTTAGGATCCACCTCTACTCCCCTCCGGGACACCATGTGCCCCAGAAATAGTACCTCTTCCAGCTAGAACACACACTTCGAGAATTTGGCATACAACTCTTTTTCTCTCAAAGTTTGCAATACCAATCTCAAGTGTTCATCATGCTCTTCCGCACTCTTCGAATACACTAGAATGTCATCAATGAATACTATGACAAATTTTTCAAGATATTCATGGAAAACTTTGTCCATAAGAGCCATGAACATTGCCGGTGCATTAGTAAGTCCAAAAGGCATCACCAAAAATTCATAATGTCCATACCGTGTTCGGAAAGAAGTCAACCGTACGGTTTTCTCTCCCACCTTCAACTGGTGCTATCCCGACCTCAAATCAATTTTTGAAAAGACCGTTGCTCCTTGTAGTTGGTCAAACAAGTCATCAATTCGAGGAAGTGGATAATGATTCTTAACCGTCGCCTTGTTTAGCCTCCGATAGTCAATGCACATTCGCATTGACCCATCCTTCTTTTTTACAAATAGAATAGGTGCTCCCCAAGGTGATATACTAAGTCATATGAATCCTTTGTCCAAGATTTCCTGCAACTGTTCCTTTAGCTCCTTCAATTCGATTGGTGCCATCCGATACGGTGGGATAGATATGGGAGCAGTTCCAGGTACTAACTCGATGTTAAAATCCACCTCCCGTTCGATTGGCCCCCCAGGAAGGTCTTCTGGAAACACATCCTGGTATTCATTTACAACTCGTACTTCCTCCAACTTCTCTTCTTTAGTCACCTCAACTTGCACAAGAAAGGCTTGACACCCTTCCCTTAGCAACGCATACATCTCCATCGCCGAGATGATACCCATCGGAGTTGACTTCTGTTTTCTCAACCCTTGGAATATCATATGTTTACCATCATCCCCAGAAAAGCGTATTTCCTTCTTTTGGCAATCCATCACTGCGCCGTGACTGGATAACCAATCCATGCCAAGAATCACATCGAACTCATTGAAAGGCAAAATCATCAGCTCTGCCTTCAATGCTACTCCTCCCATCACAACATCACAATCGCGTATCACGTGATTAACTATCACCGAAGTACTCAATGTTGATATGATATGCATGTTACTAGCACATTTCTCGAACATAAAGGAATGCGAAGAGCCAGTGTCAAACAAGGCATATAGAGCATGTCCAAAGCAAGTTATCATACCAGTGACAACATCAGTAGCAGCCTCCGCTGCATCTCTAGTCAAAGCGCATAGTCCCGCCTAATTCTGGCTTCCTGCTCCCTGTCCCATGGGTTTCTGATTCGGTCCACACCACGGATAGGAGTTAGCTCCAGGTCCTCGAGATCTAGGACGTCCTCCCTGCCTTGATGCTCCCCTGGAAACTCCTGCCGATGGGGTTCTCGGGCCCTGAACAGATCCCACTGACGGTGCCAGTGCTCGGGCGAGTAGTGGGCACTATGGTCGGGTATGACCATCCTGGCCACACTCAAAGCAGATGATCCTACCTTGAGGCAAGTTATTACATCACCCAAAGTGCATCTTCCCGCAGGTCGGGCATGGTGGATAACCAGCGGGTCCCGTCCTGGTCTGTGGAGCTGAATATGTCACCCTCAGCCTGGCATGGTATTGCCCTCCCCTTCGGGTCTGCTGGGTGAAACCGGCCGAGTGACTCGGTTGGACAAAAGACTTCCTCTTCCTATCACCTGGCCTCTCCTTCCAAGATTCCCTCTTGGCCTTCTCCAGGTTCTCTTTCCTCAGGGCAGCCTATTTAATGGCATTCAGGCTTACCATGTCAGCTGAGGAGACTCTCTCCTGGATGGTGTATCGGAGATTGCGGAGGAACCTCTTGGCCAACTTCTCATCTTGGTCTGTCTCAATCTCACACCACTCCGATAACTCGAAGAATTTGATGTAGTAAGACAATACAAACATCCCCCTTGCTTAAGATCATCGAACTCCCGCTGTTTATTATATATCCACTCCGGTGGAAAGAAAGTCGCCCGGAACATAGCCACACAATCATGGTACGACAGCAGCGGAGGATAGACCTGCCCCTCCTCCTGAGAGCCCTACCAGGTCAAGGCATGGCCTTTAAGAAGCATAACCATTGCTTGGAGCCTCTGCTCCTCATTATATCCCATGTAATCGAACTGAATGCGCGACTCCTTCAACCACATTGTCATTTCTTAGGGATCGTCACTATCCCCTCGAAACTCCTTCAGCCCATATTTCTTAAGTTGAGGAAACTCCACCTTGATGGGGAGTGGTAGCGATGCTAACTGAACATTATGAGGGCCCACACTGTTTCGGTCACTACAAAGAAAGAAAAAGCAACCAAACTTTAGTTTTCTTCCACAAAAACTCCTTCCAAAGATCGTTTCTCAATTCCTCAAAATTTTAAAAAATCATTTTTAAAATATTTTTGTCACAATTGATCCCATTACCCAGAAAGTCTCTGTGCAAATACGAGTATGGAGTACCTTCACCCGACTGAGGGTTGCTAATCCTCACGAGTTCAGGTAACATACTTATAGTGCAGCGAACTAACCGAGCTCTGATACCACTTGTAATACCCCACCCAGAATCATTATGGTTGAACCCGTGGTTCAACCGCGCAGCCAAATCCTTGATGTTACTGGTTGAACTGAATCATCTCAAACATCATATCCTATTTTTAAACAAAAACATAAACCGTTATCATACAAACTCATTATTCGATCCCAACCCACTTATTGTGTGTGTGGATCTTTCCCACGACCTAATTTTGGGACCGCAATCAGCTAAACAAACAATCGTAATCAATCATAATTTAGTACTCTATATGCCATCTTAAATAATCATATATAAATTACCGATCAAATTATCGAATCCACCAACTCATCATCACAAAATCAATTTATCCAATCAGATAATCACATAATTTCACGAACACATAATCAATGCATGATATGAAAATTTCGGTTAATTATTAATGGCGCCAAGGTCACCATACACTTACCCTTGCTCGAGCAAATCATCATCTGTGGTGCTCATGCAACCACAACACTCAATCCGTAGATTTTAACTACAACCCTCATTTGTGGTGCTCATGCAACCACAACACTCAATCGCATAAGCAAGCTAAATCTACCCACTCTCAAAGGGTGAGGGTAAGTGCAAACCCTTTCTATATCTACGTGAATTAATATGATCACGAATCAAACCATTTTCATTTTTCTCATCCATGACAAAAAATCCGGAATCAATGTAGTCTCACTGATTAACCGGTCCATATATATATTTCCCGTCGATTATCAACTCGACGCTTCCAAAAATAAACTATCCCATCATCCAATACCAAATCACATAAATTATCTCATTCTCTAGTAAAGCTACTCAGCAGTACCATATCACCATTCCTCATCGAAAATTCATAAACAATTTCACGAAATAGAGCCGATGCAAATAATTATAAATAACCCGTTTGCGGTTAAAAATATCCTTAACTCAAAACTCACGTTCCTTCATTAAAATCCTCACAAAATATATGTAAATGAATTTATTGACACAAAAATCCATTTAATCCAATTCTGGTCCTAACAAACAATTTAGACGATAAAATATTAAAAATCTCGTATTAGCCAGTATTTTACGGTAACTTAAATTCCCACAAAACGGTAAATCCAAAAATCTCCCAAACATACAAGAAACTCTATTTAGCATCCTAAAACAGGTATGTCCAGTTTTTATATTTTTCAATATCTCAAAATCATGAAAAGAATATTATATTCGCTCTTTATCGCAAATCTCGTATTAAGCTCGTTTTTACCATTTTAATGATAAAAACTCCACCCACTGTCTAATTTACCCTTTCCAGACCAAAAATCATTTAACAATCCACACGAACCATTTTAGAGTGATCAAAATCTTAAAGATAAATAAAACACGTTTTTACCGAGCTTTCCGTAGAATTCATCGTTATGCAGTTTTTAATCCGAAAACCATTTTCAAGTGAAATCTTCTGCTCAATCTGCCCCAACATCATTTTAGACAAACAAAAATATCTAAGATCAGTTTTAAACTCAATAAACCTAACTATCCATTTTTACGATGAAACTTGTCAAATACCGATATTTACACTGTAAAATCCATAATAATCAAGAATAATAACCAAATCATCATATCAACAAATAAGTTATCACCCACAGTTATCCATCCATCCAAATATGTAAATCAAGCATAAATAATCGATGCAATAAATAAGGTCCTCTTAATCCCCACACACCTTAATTTAGCTGATTCCAAGTCGGGAATTAAGTTCTAAAATTCCAGAGATTGGCACCCAAAAATTGTACTTGTTTCTACTGTCCTGTAGGCGAAAACGGTTCATCGTTTGGACGTCAAACAAAGAAACTGCGAGCTAATCATCGTTAGTACGAAATTAGGGATTAATTCTTAATTTTCTGCTGTCCAAAATCTGCAGAAAACTGGAAATTCCCTTACCTCAAGTACCAACTTTCCGGCCTTGTTTCTCCCTCGTCTGAGATCGGAATTCAATTCCGTAAACTCTGAGACGCTTCTGGTGACTTGATCTTTGTAATAGTATCAAGCTTCGAAGCTGATGCTGTCTGTAGTCGCACTGGTTTGGGTGACAAAACGGTTACGGCAAATGTTTCGGTGAAGGATATTTGGTGAGTTGGTTTGGCGATTTTGGCTTGTAAACAGGTTTGTATAGGTTCTAAAACTTTTTTGGGAATACAGGGACTATGCTAGGCTTTGGTTTCATATTATTTCTTTTCTTTTCTCTTCTTGGTGTTTGTACGAAGGCAAAAATGGAGAGCTAACTTGCCGGTATTATAGAGCTCTTTGATTCATGCTCTTACCTCTTCATTTACTTTCTAGCAGATGGAGTAAAGGCCTGGGGCGGCCTTCTAAGGAGCAGTAGCTTTGAAAGGAAGAAACTCAAGTTCCAAAGCCGGCTCCATAAACAAGCTAGCTGCTGGTGCAATGCCTACGTCATTAGCTCATTAATGACTCGGCTCCTTTTGTATCACTGAAACTAGCATAGTCTAACTGACATGTCAGAGGTTTGAATCCTATAGCTAACAGTTTATTTTTGTTTCACTTTTTGATGTTTGGTGAGTTTTCAAGTGGTTTCGTTGATCCTACCTCGTATAGGATAACTTCTCGATTTTTTTTCTAGTCTCGAATTGTGCAATATACGTCCGCCACATGGAAAAAATTTATCCGAGGTTCGGGATGTTACAAAGGAGCCGGTATTCGTCCTACAAGATTAGCTAACCAAGTGATACTGGCTAAGGCTGGCTGGAAGCTGATTACAAAGGAGGATTCCCTGGCTTGAGTTCAAGTCCTTAAGTCTTATTTCTTAAGGAGAATCTTAAAGCCTTCCTATTGGTTGATAGTGGATTAGGTAGTTAAAAGGGGTTAGTAGTTAATAGGTAGTTAAGAGTAAATGGGATTATGCAAATATAATTAATATTATTAATGATTCTCTTTCTCTCTCCTCCCACGATTTTCTTCATAACCATCTCTCTACATTATAATAAAAAAATACAAAAATGGAAATTTAAAATTTCAAATATATGGCCTCTCTCACATCTTGGCAACTTGCAATTTATTATCAATATTTTGTAATGACATTAGCAATATTTATAAATTGAATCATCATTAGGGCTTTTCGTTGCATGGGTTTAGGATTTTTCGTTTTAAGGTATTCATTTGTGTTATTATTAATGTTGTTCAACGGGTTTTTTAATAATGTTATATGACATTATTAACTTTTTATGTTTTGTTTTGTGTGTAACATTAGCAAAAGTGAAATTGTGTTTTCAATTTGTTGGTACTTAAAGTTCATTTACTATTACATCGTATTATCAATTTGTTTCGCAATGATTTATAATAATTTGAAGTGCTATTATCAATGTTTTTTGCAAGCACAATACAACCATTAGCAACAACTTATTTCATTGATTTGTATTATTAACATTTTTTCGTGTATGTTTGTAACTTTGTCAAATGTCATTATCAATTTATCAAGAAGCATACTTGTTAGGTATTCGTTTGTTTATGACATTAGCAAAAGTGAATTTGTGTTTAATGATATAACTATGGTTATTAACCTTTCAGGCTAAGTTAGTTGGTGTCATTATTAATAAGCATTATCAATGTTGGAAAAAACAAGATATTAATAATATCTAGTAAGGTACTTAACAATTATTAGTTGCTATCATTATCAAAAAAAAATTATTGCACTAACAACTAAACATATGTTAGTTATTAATGTGTTTTTAGTGTTATTTTATATTAAAAAATTAATTTGAATATTATTAATATTTTTTATTACAAAAATATATTTCCTTATCAGTGACTTGCTCATTTGTTATTAATGGTTTTTAATATCTTTATTAAAATCTTGATGTCATTTTATAATGTTGAAGTCGGACATTATTATAGATGTTTTGTGTTTATTTTCAAC